TCCAAGCATCATAGCTCTAACTCCAACAATAAGTTAAAACATACATAACAAGTACCAACAAATGAAAACCGCAAACTATGTCGCATTAGCTGAGTCCCCCACATGAGGACCCGGATTTTGCGGACCAATCGGACCTGGACAACTACGTTTATCATGCCCTGGAACTCTGCATACTAAACATTGTCTTGGGCCTCGTGGTGGTCTTCCACTTTGATCCATTTCGTTCTGAATTCTCTTTTTCCTCGGCTGACCCGATTCACGCCTTTTTCCGAACGGCGGGATGATCAACTTTCCTTCGTACACCGGCCAATAAGCTTCATCAGGAAATGCACAAAACTCCGTCCATAGCAATTTTTGAGTGATTCGGTATTGAAGAACGGACTGACGAAGTGACGGGGGTCTTTGCTCCTGTTTTTAATTACGGTCATTGCATGAGAACATGGCCACCCTCTCCCCCGATACTTCTGGCATGAGAACAAATCAAGTTTTGTCCTGAAATTGACCAAAACTTCATGGCGATGGCCCCCGCGTCAACAATCCTCCCGATGTCCGGTCGTTACGCTAAACTCGCCATTTGCCCAATTCATAACGGTTACACTGTGTTGACTGCTCTTGCGATTGTCATTCTCCATTACTTCGGCCACTTTATAGGCATGGACCTTTCCCTGTGCCTCGCTCGTCCTTGCCCAGTGGAGTCGATTGACGAACCATGCATTCGTTTTCCAGAAAGTCATCTCCACAATGGCAGAGATTGGTAGTGAACGAACACCCTTGTAGGCAGAGTTGATACTCTCACTTGAATTTGTTGTGGCAATACCCCATCTTGTACCTCCGTTTTTATGAAATGTCCACATGGATAGGTCGTGTCCATCCAGCCACTGTGCCCCTTCAGGGCATAACTCGCGCATCTTCTGCAATTTCTCATGGAATTTTTTCTCTTGGTATGCAACAGCTGAGGAACACACACAAAAGTATTACGTTAGTCATAATTCGGCAATTTAGTACAATTCGAACAAGGAGCAGGTACTTTCGTTAGACTCTTAGGAGAGGTATACATATCTTTAGAAACACAACCTGGTTGACAGAAAAAGGGAGGATCTGAGGATCGCTTAAAACCCGATTTTCCCAGGAAATGGGAGGACCATGATAATCGCTTAAAACCTTATTTCCTTAGGCATGAATCTCTTTAGAAAGAGTCTAACAAATGTAGCATCGTTCATTGATATAATATATTGTTATTTGACAAAATTAAACAAACAATCGAGAGCTTACCAATCCACCACAAGTTATCAGCAAGCTTCTTTCGCTTGAAATGATGGTTCCAGTTGCTCTTGAAGTGTCGTATGCACCACCTTTGGGGCCACTTCCATGCTGGATCCAAACCTAAGATGGCAGCTCTAATGTCGGCGTGCCGATCAGAGTTGATTTTCAGGTTCGTCCTCCTAGTGACGTGGAGCTGAATTTGCCTGAAAAATCATACATAGCTATCAGTATTCTCTCCCTAAACAATGGCGATGGCTAGAGTGCCCTTGTACTTGCCGGTAAGCAAAGTACCATCCACTTGGATCACAGGGACACAGAAGCCAAAACCATCAATAGATGGCTGAATGCCCAAAAAATTCATCTGAAATGGCGTTTGTTACCTGGCTCTGGCGGTTGTATCTCTTTATCTTGGTATCGAGGGGAGAAAACAGTGCCAGGATTAGACGCCTCCAATGCCAAAATCAACCTGGGAAGGAATGCATATGATTCTTCCCAATCACCAACTACGGCGGTCAGAGCTTTCTGCTTTCCATGCCACGCCTTCTTATAGTTAATCATATAACCATAACGACTTGCAATGTCAGCGATTATGACTTTCACCTTCAGGTCAGGATCTTGCTCAATTAGATGCTTGATAGCTGCAACAACCACCCTGAATTTTAACTGTCGATGGCCTTGGGATGTTATGGATGACACACATGTGTGTGTGTTCACCGCACGAGATATGACCCAATGACCGTGTCTCTTGCTGTTGATGGCTCGAATCCTAACATTGCATCCCTCGTTATGATTACGACATCTGACTATGAGCCTTTTCGTGTTGGAATGAGTTGTGTGTCATTCAAAATGCTGAGTCATTGCTTCAGTATCAATGGCGTGCCGCACCTCCTTCTTCGAGCCAAATTGTTGGCCCTTCATAAACCCGGTGAGTGGACCCCATACTGGAACCTCTGGGGGTTCCATGTCGATGTCGACCATCCAATTATCATCTGGAATGTGATTGTAGTAGGGGACTGGTACACGGTCATGAGCCACCTCATCATCATTATCTGAGTCTGACTCTGGTCCTGAATCATCAGAACCTTCAAGAGGGTCGGAGCTGTCTGGACTGACATTGTTCTCTCCTTCTTCATCGGAGGGGTCACTAACTGGTACTGGCAGGGCATCTTCCATCTGATCCAGCTCATGAAAGGCACTTAGATCAGCTCCATAATGGTAGTTGTGAAAACTACCGCTGCCTGATTGGAAGTTGTACTGGGGTTGGTTGACATGGTCTGGTTGAACTTCTTCTTCATATGACGGGAAAGATTGATGATGACCTTCACCTTGCTCTTGGTACTGAAAATAGGAATGAGGATCATGGTAACTTTGGTAGGGATGATCTCCATATAATTCACCTCCACCATGGATACCAGATGTTTGACCGTCTCCAGAATGACCTCCAACGTCTACGACCGCCTCGGTGTAAACGAACATCTCGACTTTGGAAAGATTGTTGGACCTCAAGAATTCGAGCATGGCATCTACTTCATCCTGAGTGGTTATGACATATTCCTCGTGCCACAACGACCCGCCTTCTCTGTTTGGATATCGGTACACCATACGATCAACTCTTCTCGTGCCATCCATGCAAGTAATGTTAGTGCACATTTGATAGAGATCTTCAAGCATCGGTCAGGTAGCGACCTTTATTTTCTGAAAATTGCCACTGACGTAGGTGATCCCCTTTCCGGTCTCTTTCGTGTAACCATACCCAAGCGTGAACTTTTGGAATGCCATCTGCAAAAAACCGTAGTTCAGTTAATATCATAAAAATAAAAAATCACAATAAAAAGTAATACAAAATAGACTTGCGAGTTAACGTTAACCGCAAAAACACTAAAGAAGTAGGGACTAGGGAGCTACAACAGAAAATTGAAAAGCAGGAAGGAGAGGTGTGAAGAGAAGAGGTTGTTTCCCGGGCTGTGTTTATAGGCAAAATCATCAATGAAAACCGCATGGGGAGGATGCAGTTTTCATCTACCATGCAGCCCCACTTCTGTCAACCTACATGGCAATAATTTGATGTCGGAAAATAATTACACACACAAAACGATTATCCAACCCCCGGTGGTAATTTACGTATTGACAAAAAAAATATAATTGATAGTGGTGGACACCCCTGAAATTTAAAAAAAGTGATTATCCTACTCTCATATTTTACTTTGAGTATGTGAATATAAGTGGTAGTTTGGATAATTCAAACCTAGGACACTTTTATTATTAATAAACATAATTTCCATTAGGCTACAACTCATATGTTATTCGATTTTAAAAACTGTGTAATATTAAAATGTCATTCTCTATCTCTAATTATTTTCAAAATCTAACAATTAAACAAATTTCAAGCTACCCTTAATTTGTATTGATTTTATGGTTGTACGACAAGTGTTGAAAGAGTGTTTTCAGCTTTGGATTACATCAAGAACAAGTTTAGAAATCGAATATGTGATCAGTTCGTGAATGATTGTCTAATATGATATACAGAGACAATTTTTTTGAACAATGTAGACCTCAAGTGTGTTCTACAATCATTTTCGAATATGAAAACACATCGTGAATTTTTTCAAGTTGGATGAGCAAGGTATTTCTAATTTAAATATTATTTATTAATTATTTTAGAATTATTGTATTTAATTTATTTTTTAAAAAAGGACACCCCTATGTAAAATTTCTGGGTCCACCACTGTCTTCTCCCCCAGTATGCATTCCTTCACGTGATTCGTTCGACTCAATATTTTAGCTAACGACTTTCAAGTCTTTGCTGGTGTCTTACCTTTCTTCTTGATAAACGACAACAAGAAATCATCTACCCCAATATATATAGAATTATTTTCCAACTCTTACATTCCATTTTCGGAGGCTCTCAACTTTGGCATTGTGTCCTCTTTAAGGATTGTTCTTGAAGGAATCAGAGAGGAAAAGCATAATAGAATTGTCCTCTTCCGTTGAGATTTGGTGAGTGAAGTAGGGATGACAATTTGAAGCCGACCGCTAGGTATTACACGATCTAATACACGATGAGACGAGTATTATCCGACCCGCAATAGTGTGGGGCGGGACATGAGTATTTACTTTCGCCCATTCCGTTCTTGACCCATTTTATCTCAATTTCTTATAGATTCATATTTTTCCTATTTTGATTTTTCTTCAACTAGATAGACTGGATCTTTCAACTAGGTAGACTAAATGACTTATTCTATTATTATTATTATTATTATTCATAAAGTATTTCCCCTTCGTTTTATCGTAAGAGGTAAAATTTTACATGTATTGTTTTTCAAATAACTCGTAAGAGCGGGTCGACAATCCCCGTCCGTACCCAGTATTACCCGCCCTGACCTGTAAAAGCGCTAAGCGAAGAATGGATACCGAGATATCTGCCTCATTGCCATCACCAGAGTTAATAGAGAAGGGGAAAAGACGTCGCATAGTCTCTGGTAAAATGTTTTTATGTTATAATGTCTTTACGAAAAAGTTGGATTTGGAATATTAATGGAATCGCCATAACCGATAAGTAGGGTCAACCCTTATTTCATGGTATTTACATCTTTCTTATTTTTAAGCAAGTCCCCGAGAGGACGTAAATGATCTAGGATTTATATTTCATCTTTCATTTCCTTTTCATTTGTTTTGAGAAACATAGCGATTAATTCCGATTCTTTCTTTCTTCTTCTATCGATTCTTTTCCGATCGAGATGTATGGCTCCATGAGTCTATGCGTTTATATAGATCATGTTCATGGATTAACGAAAATGTGCCAAATCTCTATTTGCCTCTGCCAACCTATGAGCCTCTTATTTTTGTGTATGGCATAGTAATTTCCTTTGGCAACATCCACGAATTCGAAACTTAATTTGAAAGCCACATTTCGGCCCGAACGTTTTCGAGAGCCCCCTAATAACCAACGAATAGCAAGTGCTTTTCCTTATGTGGATCAAACTTCAAACGGAACTTGATGAGTCGATCCGCTTACACAGCTTGCTTTTATTGTTATATCGGGAGTTACTCCACGTATTGCTTGACGTGAAACAGATCGTGTGTTTGTTTCTGCCTTTTATTGAATCTTTTTCACGCCCCCATAGATAATTTGATAAGCTAATAATTTTTTTTTCTCTGTGTTTCAGAATATGATTAACCAACATGTTAACTAATCAATTACGAATAAATAGAGTGAAAACGAGGCTTGGTGAAGGGCTGCTCCGAGACTTTCGGAACGGCGAGAAAACCCTACGCAAAAAACCCTTTCGGCGCGCCGACCTTCCATGGCCGAACCTGCGCCGGGGGGCACTCCTCCGAGCGCCGGTCAGGCTGATTCCAGTGTTGGCACCTGCCGGCCCCCGTCGGCAACATCTTCCCCTAATGCAAAGGGAGAACGAGAAACCCAACAACTGAAGAAGCGTGCGAAACCTATGGTTGAAAACCCTCTCTTTGGATCTGATGCTATGGCTGATGACACTCCCTCGCCGAGGGCAGGGGATGGGGGCGAGACTACTCGACAGAGGCAAGATACTGCATGGATAAACGATGGAGCACGTAAGCTATTCAGGAATATGCATGTGGATGATGAGTGGTACGTGGCCGAATCGGACTCTGAAGATGTCGCAGCTGCCATGAAGGAAGATGACCTAGACGATGAAGTTCCAGAAGATGATGACCCAAGATGCCCGACGATAGCTTTTACGGCGATGGAAAAACAAAGATGGCGACGAGAGTGGCGGTCAGCACTCATCGTCAAAGTCCTTGGGCGTTCATTTCCCTTCCCGGTCATTTCACGCAGACTTGAGACGCTGTGGGCTAAGACAGGCAATATTCAAGTAGCAAGTCTCGCTTATGGTTTTTATGTTGTTCGGTTTACAAACCAGATTGATTATGAACGCGCAGCGGTGGGCGGGCCTTGGATGATCAGTGACTACTACATTACCGTTCGACCATGGCGGCGGAACTTTAATCCGCAACATGCAGAGGTTGCCTCGACAATGATCTGGGCTAGGCTGCCAGGCCTCCCCCGGGAGTTTATCAACAAGGAAGCCATAGAGCGTATAGCGTCACGTATTGGTAGGCCGGTCAGAGTGGATCGTGCAACGGAAACGGGGGACCGTGGACGTTATGGAAGAGTCAGTGTGGAAGTGGATCTTACTCGACCGCTTCTCTCCCAGTACAAAATAGAAGGGCTCACCTATTACATCGAGTATGAAGGATTGCATCGTATATGCACTGAGTGTGGGAAATATGGACATGCCAGAGTTTCATGCCCGCTATTAAGACCCATAGATGAGCCCTTGCAGCCGAAACTGACACAGGAGGAGAAAGACAAGGCTGATGAAACTCCGTATGGGGAGTGGATGGTAGCGAAACCGAAGGGTAAAAATTGGAAGACGAAGTCAACCACTCCTGAAGGTAACACTAATGCGTCCCTAGGTGGCAATACCTCATCACTAGCTGCCAAAGAGGCCACAGGGTCACGCTTTGCGGTACTAGAGAAAGATTTGCAGAATGTGGAAGGGGCCAAGGATGCAGAAATGCGACTCGAAGATGACCATAACTCACAGGATGCCGAAATGACGGAAGAGGAAGCACTGACAAAAGAAAATACCAACCCCACCAACATAGTCCAGCAGCCTCTCTCGGATAACTCAGCTGGCGGGGGTGGGAACCAGAGAAGTAACGATTTGAGCAGCGAGGGGCACCAGAGTGTACCTCAACAGCACAAACATGTTGGGGAAGATTCCCAGGCAGCAGCAATTGAGCGTTCGACGAGTGGGCATAGGCCTATAAGTTTGGGTACGGACTTGCCCCCGGAGTTCTCAGACTTTTCATAACTCATAAGGAAACCGTAAGCAGAAGGCCCCGCAGAAGGAAACTTCAGCTAGTCTAAAGCAGCAGGATGGAAAGCCGGGCGGGAAGGATAGAGCCATTAATGGCGGGTCGAAGAATGGAATGAGCAAAAATGGTGCGGGGAACCTATCCCCTCCACGGACCAGATGAGAATCTTAAGCTACAACTGCCGCGGATTGGGGAATAAGCGAGCAGTGAATTCATTACGTACACTTTTGCGACGTACTTCCGCCCATGTGGTTTTTCTAACGGAAACTAAACAGACAGTGACAGAGAATACGACTTTACGAGACTTGTGTGGATTCAAATATGGTGAGAGCTGGCCAGCAAATATTTCTATAAGGAATAGAGCGGGCGGATTAAGTATCTGGTGGGGGGAGGAGCTGTCTATCACGATGATGGATATTTCTTTCAACCATGTGGATGTTGCAGTCGAGGAGGAAGGCATAGGTACGTGGCGGTTTACGGGCATCTATGGATGGCCAAATGGTAATGATAAATGGAAAACCTGGGAGCTATTAACTTCATTGAGCCAACAATGGAATGGTCCATGGCTCTGTGGGGGAGATTTCAATCAGGTTTGTTCAGCTGAAGAAAAGAGTGGCGGTAGAGGAGTACATGAACAAGAGATGAGCAATTTTGACTACTGTCTCCGAGAGGCAAGGCTCCAAGACTTGGGCTTCCATGGTTACCCTTTTACATGGGAGAATAGGCGGACCCGTGGAGGTTACATAGAGGAGCGGCTTGATCGCTTTGTGGCAAATGATGGATGGCGACAAATTTTTACTCAAAACCGGGTACAACACTGTGATAGGGCAAGCTCCGACCACCGTCCAATTACATGTGACACTCGAGGATCCGAAGATGTGGAAATTCGATGGGGGCGCTCCTTTCGGTTTGAGCCTTACTGGTCGAAGCACAGGGCTTGTGCAAGCATCGTGGAGCAGGCCTGGAACTTGGATGGATCGAACATTCTACAAAGAATGTCAGCTTGCGGTCAGAAATTGGAGGAGTGGAGCCAAAGTACTTTTCCCCAGTTCACTAAACAGAAGGATCGGATTAACCGGGCATTGAGGGCGCTCGAGCGAATGCCAAAAACAGAGGGAGTCTTAGAACAATGCCGAGCTTTGGAAAGGGAAATGGAGGACTGTTTGGACAACGAAGAGCAGTACTGGCATCAGCGATCAAGAGTAGGATGGCTAAAGGGTGGGGACAAGAACACTAATTTTTTCCATAGAAAAGCATCGGCCAGGCGGAAGAGGAACTCAATAAGAAGAATTAAAGATGAAGCAGGGAGGTGGTATGTAGGGCAGGATGGAGTTACCTCTTGTATGGTGCAATACTTTGAAAAACTGTTTACGGCAGGGGAAGCTCCCACGACATGGCCGGTGCTTGACTCGATCTCGCCTCGAGTTACCAGTGAGGATAATGAAGCCCTTATGCAGCCGTTTACTCGAGAAGAAATTTTTGGGGCCCTAAAGCAGATGGGGAAACGAAAGGCTCCAGTAGCTGATGGCCTATCAGTGTTCTTTTTTCGAAAATATTGGGACATTATAGGGGAGGAAGTGACAGCTGCAGTCCTGCAAATTCTTACTACAGGAGTTCTACCAGAGGGTCTAAACCATACTCTCATCGCCCTAATCCCGAAGACGAAGCAACCGACCTCTCCAAAGGAGTACCGGCCCATAAGCTTATGCAATGTCTTGTACAAGATTGTGTCGAAGGTCCTGGCGAACAGAATGAAGTCACTGCTGAATAAGATAATCTCTCCACAGCAGAGTGCTTTTGTGCCTGGGAGATTGATCACGGACAACATCATGGCCGCATTTGAGTGTTTCCATACGATGAAGAAAAGCAAAAAATGGAAGCATGGTTTCTTTGCAGCGAAGATTGATATGGCTAAGGCCTATGACCGGGTGGAGTGGAATTTTCTGGAGGGAGTTATGCGTCGCCTGGGTTTTGATGAACAGTGGATTAACCTTATTATGATGGGTGTGACTTCAGTTTCATATTCTGTGCTGGTCAACGGCCATCGCTCTCCTACTTTTACCCCGAGTAGGGGCATTCGGCAGGGTGACCCTCTCTCACCTTATCTCTTCCTGCTGTGTGCGGAGGGATTATCGGCCTATACAACCCGGGCAATGACAGAAGGCCGGTTGCATGGGCTGGAGGTGGTGAGGGGAGCCCCGGTGATTACCCATCTCTTTTTTGCTGACGATAGTATCTTTTTTGCCATGGCAACACAGCAGGAGAGCCTGGAATTAAAAAGTATCCTACAGGCATATGCACGAGAATCAGGGCGACTTGTCAATTTTCAGAAGTCAGAAGTTTCGTTTGGAGCTAACGTTAAACCACATAGCAGACTTGTTGTGGGTGGTACTCTCGAGATGAAAATCGTGGAGAAGCAGGACAAGTATCTCGGCCTGGTGACAGAAGTGGGCAGATCCAAAAAAGCACTGTTTGAGGGTCTCAAAGAGAGGGTGAAGCAGAAAATGAAGGGCTGGAAGGAGAGAGTGATGTCGACGGCAGCACGTGAAGTGTTGATTAAATCAGTAGCACAAGCCCAGCTCACATACGCTATGTCTATCTTTAAGCTTCCGGATGGGATCCTAGATGAGGTGCATCGATTAATCATCAATTTTTGGTGGGGTCAAAAGGGGAGTGAGCGGCGAGCACACTGGCTGCGCAGGGAAGAACTGGTGATGCTGAAGGAGGATGGGGGGATGGGGTTCAGGGATATGAAGGGCTTTAATATGGCGCTCCTAGCAAAACAGCTCTGGTCCCTTAGCCAAAGACCATCATCGTTGATAGCAAGAATTCTCAAGGCTAAGTACCATAAGCACTGCTTGATACTAGACGCGAATATTGGGTACAACCCGAGCTATATCTGGAGGAGTTTGATGGGGGCACAAGAGTTCTTGTGCAAGGGGCTCCGATGGCGGATTGGAAACGGAGAGCAAGTGAGAATCTGGGGCGACCGTTGGCTGCCGGAAGGGCCGAGCACTTTTGTCACTTCGGCCCCAAGGGAGCTTCCTGTTGATGAATACGTTCGAGATCTTATAGAGCCAGAGACTGAGCAGTGGGATGCGGCTCTGCTGACGAGATGTTTCCCCCAGGAAACAGTCCGCATGATACTCAACATTCCCCTGCGTGGGCGAGAGGTACAGGACCAGCTCATTTGGCATCATAATGACCGCGGCATGTATACTGTGAAGGACGGCTATCGACAGTGGTTAGAAGGTTATATGGCCGAGGAAGGTATCCAAGCCAGGGGAAGCAAAGAAATATGGAAGCAGCTCTGGGCGTTGAACACTCCACCAAAGGTGAGGCAATTCTTATGGAGATTCGCCAGAGAAGTTTTACCTACAGGTCAGAAAATCAGTGCGCATAATGAGCGGCGGAGTGACATTTGCCCCTACTGTAACGAGGCAGAAACCCAGATCCACCGGTTCCGCGAATGTAGTTGGAGCTCTAGAATCTGGCGAGGATCACCTCTAGCGGCAGTGTTTGAAGTACCGGAAACGATGGATTGTTTGACATGGATGTCGAAGGTAGCTAAGGAGCAGCCGAAGGAAGTTTTTGAGGAATGGGCAACTTTGCTGTGGGCCTTGTGGAATGAACGAAATGCTCAGTGCTTCAATGGACATAAGTGGCCAGAAGATGAAGTGGTGATGCGAGCTTTGGCTTTCCTCCATGAATACCAACGGAACCAGAAGGAAGAAATCATAGAAGACAGCCAACCTGCCAGGTGGGATCGACCGCCAGTAGGGTGGACTAAAATAAATACTGATGCTGGCCTACTGCCTAAAGGAGAGGGAGCTGGTCTCGGGGCTGTTATCCGCGACTATCAAGGTCGGTTCATAGCAGCGGCGGCCAAAAGAGTACGTGGCATACACAGTGTGGATATGGCGGAGGTTCTCGCTGCAGAATTTGGAGTTCAGCTGGCTAGGCAGCTGGGGATCAAGCGCATTGTGCTGGAAATGGACTGTCTAAATGTGGTTAACTACCTTCGAGACGAGACTCCTATAGCTAATGAAGTTGGAATCATTTGCAGCAGTGTCAAGCATTACTTTGGCCGAGCGTTTTTGGGTGCTGAGTTAGTACGTCACACTCGGCGGGAAGCTAATGAGGCAGCTCACATAATGGCACACAGTGGTACCCGATGGGATAGTAGAGAAGTGTGGCTTGATCGCCCACCTGTGTTCTTAATCGACCAGCTCAGTCTGGATAATGTAACTGACAGTGCTGCATAATTTTATACAAAGCAGGTTACCTATAAAAAAAAAAAAATACGAATAAATTGAAAACAAAAAAGATAAATGGGCTCTTAAGTTGGGCCCAAATACATAATGTTTAATTACAACTTGCGGAAGCAGTTAACACAGTTTAATATTTGGACGGGAATGACGAGATAAAAATGGACTAAAACAACCCTATAAAAAATTAAGGGGAAGGATTTTGTATGCTAAAAATTCTAAAGACTCCGCCATCTACTATTCTTTTGATGATATATCAATATCAATTTTACTAAGGAGACACTTGCACAATTTCCCAACGAATTTTTGGTCTCGCTGCATCCATTTTAACTCCGGATTGTATATGGTCTTTCTAACTACTGTTAGGAGGATGTTCTCACAGCGGAGAATATGATATTTGTGTAATGATAATATAGTATACGATTTATTAGAATACATATTCGTCCAACAAGAAAAATGTATTCTTATAATAGATAGTAATATGAAATCAAACCTTCAAGAATATCATATTCTCATACCATAAATATCATCAAGCCTTTAAAAATATCATATTCTCATAATATAACTATCATATTCTTGAAGGTTTGATTTCATACTAGTATTTATTATAATAATACATTTTTCTTGTTGAACGAATATATATTCCTGTAAATCGTATACTATATTATCATTATATAAATATCATGTTCTCCGATGGGAGTGGGAGGACATTATGTCCTTATTTTTTTTTGTTTTGACTCCTACAATACGCCATTGTGGTCGTGTCAGTCATTTGAACAACCCAATAAGAAATGAAGCCCAATCCCAGCCCAAGCCTAAAGCCCAGATCAATGTTGAATAGAGGTTTTCATCTTCTCCGCGGTACCTCCGAAAACCCTAGCACGATATAAACCCACCCTAGCGAACGCCGTTAGTAACTACATTTCATATATCCCCAAGGGGCCTGTGTTCATCGGCACGAAGCGCGAAGATGCAGATATTCGTGAAAACCCTAACCGGGAAAACCATCACTCTCGAGGTCGAGAGCAGTGATACCATTGACAATGTCAAGGCTAAGATCCAAGATAAGGAAGGTACTGGCAGCTCAATGTTCTTAATCCATTCCTCCTCCTCCCAATGTTTGGTTCCATTATTAATTCGCCGCGGTTTATATGCAGGGATTCCTCCGGATCAGCAGCGATTGATCTTTGCAGGAAAGCAGCTTGAAGACGGCCGAACCCTCGCTGATTACAACATCCAGAAAGGTTCCCTTCTTATTCTGTAACCTCATCGCTTGAATATGATTATTATTATGTCTTGTGTTTTTTAATCGGTTTTGCTTTATTTGGTGCTCAGAGTCTACTCTTCATCTGGTACTGAGGCTCAGGGGAGGAATCATCGAGCCCTCTCTAATGGCTTTGGCTCGCAAGTACAATCAGGAGAAGATGATTTGCCGCAAGTAAGACTCTGCTTCATCCTCGTCCATGGAAGTTTGATTTATATTTAGAAATGGGTCTTCAACCTAGTCCATAGATGATTGATTTATATTTATGAATGGGTTAGATGCGTGAATAAGACTTATCATGAACTTTGGAAGCTTAAATCTTTTGTGAAAAAATATCTATCTACGGGGCTTCACTTAACTTCTTTAGCCAATTTTAATGCTCAAGAAGTCATACGAGTACCCAATATTGAATCTTCCATTCTTCTACTTTGTCAGCTTTGGATCACTCATACTTGGCTGATTTTCTCGACTGGGACATTGCTATCTGGACCAACATTTCTTACCCTTTATATGCTCTAATGTCATCTTCTTGAACCTCTTCAGAAGAGTCTCTCTGAATGGCGGTGTGGCAATCTGAATTGAGTAGCTTTGTCCATTGAATGAATTTGGTAGTTAATTTGCCTCTTCTTATAGAACATTTGGTTTCTAGTCTTGCCATCAGCAAGACTGTGTTTTGTGATTGTCAGTTGAAATCTCTTATGCTTGCAAGTGCATTCACTCATACGTGGATGATTTTGCCCCCATAATAACCTCATTTTTTAGACTTTGTCAACTGGCTTACTTTGCATTACAGTTGATTTTCATGGGTCGGAAAATTCTGTTACCTGTTTAATTGCTCCAGACTGTCTCATTTGACTTGATAGATGTCTCAGTTGCTGATTGATCTCATATTTATCTACATTTAGTATGGATGTTGAATGGATGCTGATTGTATATGCCTTGCTGACTTTGAGTTTTGTAGGTGCTACGCCCGCCTCCATCCCAGAGCTGTAAACTGCCGTAAGAAGAAGTGTGGGCACAGCAATCAGGTTGGTTTCTTTTATATATCCAGTTATTGTAGTTTGTTTACTGATGTTTTTTCACCAGCATAGCTTACTGGTTGAACTGTCCTCTTTGCACAGTTGAGGCCTAAGAAGAAGATCAAGTAGACTCTGAATCTGATGGAGAGGTTGCTGATCTGCTGCGGTAGTGCTTGTGTTCTTGGCCTTTCATTTTTTGCTTGTTTAGCTGTGTTGTTGAAGTAGCATGAATACAGAACTATGAGCAATTTTTTTTTTTTGTAAACAACGGAATCTCCAGTTTCTCCAATATGTTTTATCATCCAATCTCTTGCTACCAAATCTAACAGTGAGCAAATTGACCCCCCAAATCCCGCCATTTAAGTATTATTGATCTGCTTTACCGTTGTACGCAAATAATCTTTGAACATGATAGATTGCAACCGCAACTATGCCATACATTAATGTGCAATTGGCCGATGCTGGAAGTTACCTTCGAGCAATGACGGTGCACTTCCATTACCATAGGAATTTGGATGATGAACAAGGCTGATCTTGGAGTCATTTTTGAGATTCAACGGGCAATTGTCTCATTTGATGGCGGCTTTCTGGCGAGTGCGGTGCATTGGCTCGCGGAGTTTCCGGCTGGTCTGGAGAGAAGTGTGATGGATGACATATGGCGTTTGATCGCAGAACTTACAGTCGTTCTGTGAATTAGTAATCTGATTGGTTCTTTCCTGGCGACGCGGATCACTTAAGAGGGACATGAATTTGTGTACAGATTAATGACTCACTCGCTTCTCCCTAATCCTATAAATATCATCTCATTTCTTTCTTTACTCACACCATTTCATTCTTCTCCCTCTCCCTCTGAAAGAAAATATGAGTATATTCTGCGGTTGCAGGTAAAACCCGATTTCTCACACTAAAAAGATTCCCGTAGTTGGTGATGATGCGTAAAATATAAATTGTCTCCCATACTAGAAAATATGAGAATAGCCACTTTCACTTGTAATTGCTTGTTTTTTTGCTCAAAGATGTATTTAGTTGCTCTAGATATGTTTATATACATTTGATGTCCTTTTGAGTAGCATTTTGGTATTTTCAGGTCATGACACCCTAGTAGATTACTTTGTCGAGCTGAAGATATCAAGACCGATCAGATGGAAATTAGAAATGGAGCTGTCTAGTCCAACCCAAACTGGCGACGAAAATAGTATGTCAAACAAAAAATGGTGGCCTAAACGCCATTTTTTAATGGTTAATTAAAATTGCATTAAGCTCTCTCAAGTGTACAGTTTTGAACCATTAAAATAACCATCAAAAGGGCACTTTTGCTGCACTATAATGCAAACTATCGCTACTTTTAAACAAAACTAGGTAAAACAACACACGTATCCACTCTACTTTGAATCAAAAACTTTGCTTCGGATCGGATTCTGGCCACTAGTTGAGGAGGGTGCTGCAAACCACTTTCATAGCACCTGTGACATCTTTCTTTCCAGACATGACTCATAACTATACTCTAAATCAATTTGCCTAACTTCAAACGTATGCTGGAACCACTCCAAGTGCGAGTTGCCCAATTAACAGTAGACTGGCAAGTGGATAGAGCAGGGGCCTGAGGGAAGTCCGTTAAACATTGATGCAAAACAAAGACAGTATAGGAGCAGGTGCAAAAAAGACGATAACGCGTTTCTAATCCACCTGTGCAGAGCACACAAGCTACCTCTATTGTTTTCCCCCAAGCTGTAAGCTTATCACGGATGTATATTCTATCCAACATGATTAGCCACAGGATCAGACTATGTTTAGGAATATAAAATTGTCCCCAAACAAGCTCAGACCAAGGAACTAAGGCTGATGGAGAACGAATAGATAGCCAGACTTTCTTAACTGAGTATCTGGTCATAGGCTGGCCTGACCATCTTAATAAAATGCCAGCACCCGTGATAAATTGATGAGCTTCCTCTTTTGCCTTCAGAATAAGTTTCCATTTTGAGAAATGTTTTCAAAGTATAGTTTTTGAGGAGCAGCGATGATAATTGATATCTAATTCTAGACAAAGTCCAGCGCATAGATGGACTACAAGTTCTCAGCACGATCAGAAGAATATCCTCGATCAAAATGTGACAATCATGACTCTTCAGCCCATTGATTTGCATTCATCTGCGTTTACACATCTTGATATGTTCGAGGCATAACAATCAGGTGTTTTCATCTTCTTTAATGCTTCACAAAGAGCATGTTTCTCATCTTTACTCATTGTGAACAAAGCTGGAGGTAGTCTATTTCTTCCATTTGCCAAAAGTTCAGGATGCAGCTCACTTCTAATATCCATATCAACCAAGTCACGACGAGCATTCAAGTTATCCTTGGATTTACCATCTAGATTTAACAAAATACCAATGAGATTATCACACACATTCTTCTCTATATGAATCACATCAAGGTTGTGACGCAATAGATTATGCTCCCAATAAGGCAGCCTAAAGATGATACTCTTTTTTTTCCAACACTTTGCCCACTCTGGAACTTCATCGACTGTAGTTGTAATGCGACGACGACCCCTCTTTCTTATTGTCCTTCCCATACACAAAATCTCTACTTTCTAGATACCTCAATACCTCACTTCCAGTGTTCCGCTCTGGTACTATCCTAAACTCTTCTGTTCCATCAAAATGGGAACTCTGAATTCGAAAAGGATGACTTTCATCTAACCAATGATGATGTCCCATATAACAAAACTTTCCACTCTTGTCTAACCATTTCGAACATGTGGATTCACAACAAACATGACAAGCAAATCTGCCTTGTGTGCTCCGTCCAGATAAGTAACCAAAAGCAGGAAAGTCATTTACAGTCTACATTAAAGAAGCACCCATAGTAAAATTCTGCTTTGTAGAAGCATCATAAGTAGTCACCCCCTCCCAAAGTCGAATAAAATCTTCAATTATTGGCTCTAAGTATACATCAATATCATTTCCTGGACCTTTGGGTCCAGGAATCACCATTGACAATATGAAAGCAGATTGCTTCAAGTACATCCATGGAGGCATATTATAAGGTATCAACACCACAGGCCATGTACTGTGGCTTGTTCTCATTGTTTGATCCGGACTAAACTCATCACTACTGAGAGCCAATATGATATTGCGTGAATCAGAGGCAAAACTGGGGTGTCTAGCATCAAATGCCTTCCAAGCTTCTGAATCGGGCCGATGTCGCAACATACCATCTTTCTTCTAACATTCATCATGCCACCTCATGTGTTTTGTTGTCTTTTAAGAAGCAAATAGTCTTTGTAACCTTGGGATTAATGGATAATAACTCAAAACTTTTGTTGCTTTCACCTTGAGGCCATCTATATCTCCAAATTTATATCTAGGTTCTTCGTAGACATAACAAGAATCATCATCTTTTGTCAAATTCCAATACAAACTGCAATCATTCGGACATGCTTCGATTTTAACATAATCCAAGCCCAGCTTCTGAACAACATTCTTAGTTGCATAATGAGTTTTGGGTAAGGAAACACCTTCCGAAAATGCTTACAGTAACAACTGAAGTAACATAGTGAAAGATTTTGCAGTCCATCCATTATGAACCTTCATGTGATATAAATGCACTAGAAATGATAGCTTTGAAAATGTTTTGCACCTTGGATAAAGCTCTTCATCTGCACATTTTATGAAATTCTATATTTCACGAGTATTCTGTAATGGATCATCTGTCACTTCATCACGATCATCATTTTCTCCCTCACTATCCTCCAAAATGTTTTCATCCTCCTCACAAGGTACTTCATCGTTCACAAGATCTTCACGGCGAAAGACATCACGAAGCAACCCCATCAAATATGCTCTCATTAGTGGGTTTGATTGAATAGGAATAGATACTCTCTCCATACCCATAGTTGAAACATTTGTCCTTAAGGAAGAAGAAGTGGCAACATCACTAGTTTGGAAAGTTTCTCCATGAAAAACCCAAGTTCTATTCCCTCCTAGAATACCATCACAAATGAGATGTACCCGAATATCATCATATATTTGTGCATAAACATTTGCACACTTGACACAGGGACACAACACCTTTGCTACATGTGAAACATTTCGAAATGCATAATCCAGAAAAAGTTGCACTCCATTTTTCTATTCAACACTTGTTCTATGCTTTTTCATCCAACTCTTGTCCATTATGAAAAAAGAACTAACAGCTGCAAAAATGGAAACTGAACCATTGTTATTAGTGGAAAAGCAACTTGGAATTTCATTGACATGTTATATAAATAGGTGATGATGGCAACTATGCATACATACTACTCCTACCGCTTAGGGAAAGAGTTGAACATAACCCGTAAGTGATTAAGGAAACATAGTCAATCTTTAATGGAAGAGGTTGGTACCTTTCCCCTTCAGTGTTGTACTTAGAGCTGCAGTTAATTAGAAAGAAATTTGTGACTTTTGATTGAAGTTCTGGGTTGATGCATATTACTGCTCATGTATTTCTTTTGGATTCCCCTTGATGATTGCAATGTAAGTTCGTATAAGTGAAAAACAAGGTGTTTTCTATACAAGACAAAGTACGAGAGCCGATTTGATAATGTATTTCTGTCCCCAGCCTATTTGGATCGAGAAAGAGCAGTTCTGCATCCCATTACCTATTTATTAATTCTGTCCCTAGCCAAGCACATGAGCAGCTCACGGATCATCGTCGTCTGCTGGTAGTAGGAAGCTGCTCCATTGCTCTCGAAACCTGGTAAACACAAAAAAGTAAGGCAGAGTGGGAATCCTCTCTTATTATATGAATGGAATGCTTCTGGTTTTTCTTCTTAATTACTCCAATTGAATGGCGAATTTCTTACCCACCAATTGAATGACGAATTTCTCCACTCCAGCTTGTTTCCCCTGTTTCAACTACTTAATTTGAACTTCCACGGGACTTCGCCCAGCACACATGAAGGTGGATTCGAAATCGGAATCGAACTTCACTTGGACCCAATTGTCGGAGAACATGAAGAATGAGAAGGACCCAATACATAAAGTGAAGTGGAGCTGAAGTGGGCTGATTCGGATTATGATGAACTCGAATCGGAGAGAAGAAAGTAGAAAACGGAGTAAAGTGGCGGCGGGCAGACCCCGACGACAATGCCGAGCTGGGAGTCGGACTCAAAAGAAGAAGACCGGCGGTGGGCAGATCCTAGGATTTTTTGGTTTTGTTTTTTTGTTTTTTGAGAAACATATTAGGGGATTTTTTCTATCATGAAAGAATGAGGGTTGGTATTGAAAGAGAGTTGCACTATAGCAGGGGTTCCTAAACCCTTGGAATCGCCAGTATAATGAGTTTCTAAAATATTAACAGGGGTTTAACA